AAATAAATAATTATATTATAAAATGAATAGCAACAATAAGATGGTAATAGTAACAATATGACAATAACAGTAACAATCACTGTCAGGGGCGATGACCGAGAGTAGAGTTACTATAGAAATGGTAGGACTAAAGTATAGAGTGATGGTAAATTAACAATAACACGATCACAATAACAGTTATAGTCAGTGTCAAAATTCTATAGAATTAAAAAATAACATGAACTAAACAGTCACAAGATTACAATAACGGTCACAATAATAACCACATCTATTAATAGAATAGTTCATAAGTTTAAACCGAAAAAAAAATACATAATATTTTCATCCATATCAAAACAAATCCAAGATCAATATATGAAAACAATCAAGTAAAAGTGGAGATCTAGAAAATCTTTGTACAAAATAGAATAAAACTCTTTACTCATGCATTTTATTGAACAACATTTGGGCAAAGTGAAAAATGTCACCAAACCCCCGACACCAATGAAGAACACAAGACTTTGGTCATTAGGAAGAACTCATATTTGGTGATAAAATCCTTTCACACTTGGACAAAGCCTTTTTTTTTTCCAACTACTTTGTAAATAAATGGAGAGAATATTTTTTGGGTACATCGGTCCAAAGTAGAAAAAAAGGTGGCAGATTTTTCTTCTTGCAGTATTAACAGTTCAAGAATTACTTGCATAAATTTCGAATGTGCAAAGTATTTACTTTAGTTCCTTTGAGGTTTCGGACACTTGCGGCATGTGTAGATGCTGATGACTATTTTGTACTTTCAATTTTATGCAGTTTCACCATAGAAAAAGGAAACTTCCATTGATTCAAAAAAAAAAGAGACGATTATGAATTGTGTGAATGTGTTTGTGTTATGAATCTGAGAATGATCGTGAATTGTTGAATGCGACTGTGAAAATTAAGGAATTGAGAGAGAGAGAGAGAGAGAGAGAGAATTTAGGATAGCAAAAATTGCCAACTGGATTTGTTGGAACTGTTTTGCGTGAGTGAGAGAAAAATGCGTATATGATACAGTAGAGGACATAATAAGAAATAAAGAAAAAAAAATTATTGGACTTACTTATAAAAAATACAATGTTTTGAGTAACTATTAACAAAAGAGATTACACGTGAATCTATTGATAAAAGAGGTCTCTATATTATACTCCATTCTAATTTTTATTTTTTTAATTATAATTTTGAGTAACAATGTTTTTCAATTAGAAAAAAACCAACCCGCGGCCCATTCGGTCTAACCCGCCAACAATAGTTGTGACATCCTTACCAACCAAACAAACCCAAACTTCGTTAATCATAATGAAACAAATTTTATTAAAATTTTACAGTTAAGCGTACTTTGACGATAATAGAATTATAATGGATGATTCTCTAAAGAATTTTCATGTTGCACCTTTAAAATATAATAATAATGATAAAAAAAAAACTCCAATTTACCATTGGAGTAACGACGCGACTTTGCACAGAGATCAAGCACTAGTTTGATAACATAAGGAAAAAATTGAGATGCTGAAAAGGAATTAATACAAAATATTCCTAAATTAAGATATTCAATAAATACCCAAATCTATTATTACATTACGTTGGATCCTTTACTTAAAGTTTGGATACCATCAGTCAAAAATATAAAAGGCTCTTGTTCGTTGAACCTATTACCGTCAGTCAAAAGTAATTAGGTACCATTACTTTTACCCTTTGGCGCGAATTTCTGACAGGTGAAAGTGAAACGTGTGTGGGCTACTGCCAGTTGTTACAACGACCTTTTCGCCACCTGACAACACCACCGACAACATGTTCTCAAAGATTAACTCAGACCTACCACTTTCTCGTGGCAAAGAATTCAATTTTTTTCTCCTTAATTTTGGTAATTATAATTATTTAATAGAGTTAGATTTATTTTTCGGTGTTCAAAGCTCGTGAGATTTTTTGTAGATAATTGTGTAGGGTTGAAGGCAATGTTTCACTTGCCAATTTCTTTGGAATTCAGGCAGAAGGAATAAATTTATTTTTTATGAATTTTTTAATATAAGCGTAAATGATTTAATGTCTGGTTCACATGACGTGTGTATGATGATTTTTCGTAAATTTTGACAAATACAGTATAAGGGTTTCATTGACATAAATAATATAATCTGAGGTCAAATAAAATAACAAATTGTTATTTTAAAAAGGAAAAGACCTGACAGATATGTAATGGATTATTGTTCATTTAAAAAACTCAGGCATCACGTCATCACGCCGTTAACTCTAAATTTAACGCCGTTAATTGTCCTTCCCGTCCATCATCACAATAAAGAAAAGCGACGTGTGAATTCATCGTTATCGCTTTTCTCTCTCTTGAACACTACCTTTGATCATGAAGGTCTTCGTTCGGAGCTTCCTCTGTTTCTTCTTCATCTTCTTCTTCCTTCAAAGGTGCTGATTATATCATAATCACTTCTTGTCATACTTGTCTTGTATGAGTGTCCTGTTACACAAATTGATTTCTTAGAATTGAATTGTCCTATTCTTCACTTTTTTTTGATGAATTTAATGAGTAGCAATCAAACCCTGTTCATGCAGTTTTTTTTGTATTATTTACCCAGTTCAGAAAATCTTTTCTTCAGGGTGTTTATGCTTATTTGTGTTTTTATTAATGCATTTATTACATTTATAAAGCAAAAGATGAGAGACGATTGCCCATTTCAGGGTAATATGTGAAACTCAAGCTGAGAGTGGATCAGAACATGCTAGCTTACCACCAAGAGGTTGGAACTCATTTGATTCCTTCTGCTGGACCATCTCTGAAGAAGAGTTTCTTCAGAATGCAGAACTTGTAGCTCAGCGGTTACATGCTCATGGATATGAGGTCTTTACACATAAGTTATTAGTTTAATCTCACTGGATTGTTTACATTTGCCTTTTTGTGTTCCATAATGAGAGTAGACAAATTCATTAGATATGGGCCTAATTTTTAACTACATTAATTGCCTTTGATTTTCTGTAGTATGTTGTGGTGGATTACCTTTGGTATAGAAGGAAAGTTAAAGGCGCTTACACTGATTCTCTGGGTTTTGATGTAATTGACGAATGGGGGAGGATGATTCCTGATCCAGGTAGATGGCCTTCCTCCAGAGGAGGGAAAGGGTTCACTGAAGTGGCCAGGAAAGTTCATAGCATGGGTTTGAAATTTGGGATTCATGTTATGAGAGGTATAAGCACGCAGGCGGTCAATGCGAATACCCCAATCTTAGACATCACCAAGGTATTCTGCCTCATTACCATATGCAGAAATTCTCTCTCTTTTGTGTAGAAACAGAGTATTGTTCATTCATTGGAGTTCATATGTGGTAAAGAACCAGTATGTAGAAACTTGATGCAAATTCAATGCATTTAGAGTTTGGACTATAGCCTAATTTTTGTTCCTCAATGCAAGTGTGTGGAAGATTAGCATTTTTTACAGCTGTTTCTTTTTGTGTTTTGTTAGGGAAGTGCTTATGAAGAGTCTGGACGCCAATGGCACGCAAAAGATATAGGACTAACAGATAGGCGTTGTACATGGATGCCTCATGGTTTCATGAGTGTAAATACGAAGTTGGGAGCTGGAAGAGCATTTTTGAGGTCCCTCTATCAACAGTATGCCGACTGGGGCGTTGATTTTGGTAATTTAACAGCCTGAGGCTGAAAATAAGTCTCTCTGTTTCTAAGCATTACCGCAGCTCTGTGTTAGCAATAAAATTTGTTAGGATGCACATGCAGATATCAAGTATAAATAAATTTTGGTCATGCTCTGCATTTTATTTTGAATAAGTTAATTTTTTCAATGGCATCTACACTGACTTTATATTGTTTCCACGACTCCCATCCTGGGATATTTAAATGCACTAATAACTAAAATCAATGAACCACCCATGCCTCAACCTTTATTTGAGATCACTAAAGTTTCTACTATTACCAGAGCTGAACGTCAGTTCCTTGTTTCTATTTCTATTAGAGATGGCACTAGAAGACTTGGTGTTTGCAACATTGTGGTAGTGCTCCAAATTTGTGGCCTCGATTAATCACAGATGATTTTTAATATTGGATATTATCTTGGTAGCCAATTTCTATTTGCCTGCTACTAACTGATTGCTGCTTCATTTATCTTCACAGTGAAAAATGACTGTGTATTTGGTGACGATTTGAATATAGATGAGATCAGCTTTGTGTCAGAGGTGCATTTTTTTCAGCTGCAATTTCTGTAAATTCTGCCTTAAATACTCTGTGTGGGATTTATACGCTCACAGCGGACAGCAAAGTACATACCGCTGATATTAAAAGTGCCCTCATGCAGGTCTTGAAGGAAATTAACCGCCCCATCCTTTATTCCCTTTCTCCAGGAACTAGTGTGACACCAACCATGGCAAAGGATGTAAGTGGTCTAGTCAACATGTACAGGATAACTGGGGATGATTGGGATTCATGGGGAGATGTTACAGCCCATTTTGATGTTGCAAGGTAAACAAAGTATTAGCCTCCAGTTCACCTCCCTAATCTTCATTCACTGCTTGTCTTCCTTCTATTTTATTAGTAACTCTGTAAATTTCCAATTCAGAATCCATATTGCTTCTTTTTTTGTTCCTTGTCCATTTTGATGCTTGCTTTTATTTTCTCTATCTCATATAACTACTTAATGCCATATCAGGGACTTTTCTGCTTCTAACATGATAGGAGCTAAGGGGTTGCTGGGGAAGTCGTGGCCCGACTTGGATATGCTACCATTTGGCTGGCTTACTGATCCAGGTGATAAATCTTGGCCCTGCTGTTTGTGCGTCTTATTTGAACTTGACCAATTCACTATGAGGGGTTGGGTAAATGGCGGGGTACTTTACTTGTTATTCATGTTAAAGAGATGCTTATACCTTTTAATTAGCAGAACTAGTGGTAAGATATAAATAGAAAATACTATGCATTAATGAATTGTCTAACCAGTCTGATTTTGGAGGCTGGGTAAGATAGATGAAGCTACTATGCAGGATAAACAATACAGAACTAGGATGGGATGAAGCCAGCAGCTCACTGTAACAAGATGAAGTACTACTAAATGGTTCACACGTAGTTTAGAGAGTGGTAGATGGGTGGATCCTGTAAACTCGTAGTTGGAATACAGAGCTTTGTGGAATAGATCCATTAATTTGTTTAAACAGTGGGAGGAAAGTTATTACTAAGATCACATCCACCAGCTTTTATCCAAATGATTAAAATGTTGATCTAGTGACCTTGAAATCTGAAATAGACTTGGTCAGAAACGTTGTGTTGTATTATTTGGTTTTAGGGATTCAGAAAGGGCAAATGACAAGCCTTTATTAATGGAATATTATTATTTATTAATAGGTTCAAATGAAGGTCCTCACAGATATTGTAATCTTAATTTATTAATAGGTTCAAACGAAGGTCCTCACAGATATTGTAATCTTAATGTAGACGAGCAAAGAAGTCAGGTATGGTAGTATAAGTGCCAGTGAATTTGTTTTTATGGCCTTTTCAACTTCAAGCAACTAAATAAACATTTTACCTGTGGTCCTGACAGATGACTCTGTGGTCCATGGTCAAATCACCTCTCATGTTTGGAGGAGATATGAGAAAGCTTGATGAAATAACATTCAATCTCATCACAAATCCTATTCTACTGGAAATAAATTCCTTCAGCTCAAACAATATGGAGGCAAGAAAATTCATCTACTGATGCATACTTCTTTGGAGGAAAGATAGGCATGACAGCATCATTAAAATTCTACTTGTTCAATGCAGTTTCCTCATATTACTGGTGGAAAGCCTGTTCACCTTAGTAAGCAAGGTGTGCAATCAAACAGTGTAGCAGATGTGAAGGCATCAGAAACACATTTTTTAGGACTTTCTAGCTGCAAGGATTCCAAGTCCAAAGGTTGGTCCATCAAAGCTATAGATGATGATCTTGAACAAGTCTGTTGGGAAGGAAACTCAAGAAGCAAACCTCATGCTCCTTTTTGTTTATACAAGAGAAGACCTCTTTCTGCATCGTAATCTGCTTCACCTTTCCGTGACCATTTCCCATTACTTCTATTGCTATCTATTTGATAAATCTTGATCCGGTGATGATTTTGATGTAGAGATGAAGACACGATGCATACGCTGCAAAATCAAGGGAAATTCCATTTACATGCAACAGACACCATGGAATTCTGTTTGCATGCTTCTCCAAAACAGAAACTTACTTCTAAAGAGTTCAAGAGAGGTTCATTTTCACCTTGCAGATGGGAAGCCAACCAGGTCTATTTAGTCTGAATCGAGGGCCTCATAGCTATAGAATTTTGTCATGCATTTTTTAGAGTTGTTGGTATGGATGAACAAGCTTACATCTGATTAATAGATGATCTACTTTGTCATCTAATCTTAAGTGAACATTAGCAAACAGTTAACATGTGGTGAACCCTGTGACTTGGCAATCCTAACTAGTATAATTCTTATCCGCACAAACACATTTCATCTGTAACTTTTTTCTTTTTATTTAATTCTTTAGTCCATTCAAAACCTGATTTTTTTTTTTTCTAAAATCTAAACAGATGTGGGAGTTGAACCATAATGGAACCCTTGTTAACAGTTATTCTGGTCTATGTGCTTCTTTGAATACAATCAAAGGTGACATATTTGAAGCTGAGTTCTTTATTACACAATTAGTTACTGACAACATTTGAATTCTGTATTTTCTAGCTATTGATTGAATTTTCATGCAGCTAATGCTGGTTCTGGGGGGATTCGCTCTTGGATTGCAACCGGAAGGAAAGGTTTGATTTCCCAACCATCGTGATTACTTCGACTTAAAAGAATGTCATGAACTTGGACATGTTCTACAACCACTTTTGTTTTGTTTTCCTTCTCTTTGGAGTCCTGAGGAGATTTTGAACCCTAGGGTGATTATAGTTGATCATGATAAAGATTTGTTATAAGTGACGTGGCAAAGTTGTGGTTTTTACTAACCACTAAAGAGAGATGAGGTAGCATATCTAGATTCTACACGACCCTTGTCTTTTGAGAAGAAATATCCATGAAAGTTAATGGTTTGTTAACCCAAAACTAGACATTTATTTAGTTTGTATATTGTTAGTGAGGTTTGTCATACTTTAGATTACTTCAAATAAGCAACGGGTTATTAGATCAATGCTCCAAGTTAACTCTCCTTGAGCTATCCGCGTTCCTCTTTGAAGAAGTTATTTCGCAAAGCTACTTCTGTCATATGTTTAGCTGGTCTTTTCCATATCTAATATTAGCCTTTGGATAGACGAAGTAGCATGTCGCCCAGTATACCTAAACCTTATTTGTTATTACTACTCGGTTTCAATATAACTATTGCTGTGTCTGTTTTTCAGGAGAAATATATCTTGCATTTTTCAATCTGAATTCTGAAAAGAATGTCATTACAGCCAAGGTGTCGGATCTTGCTACTGTACTTCCAGGCAAAATTTTGAATGATGCTTCTTGCACAGGAACCGAAGTATGGAGTGGGAAAAACTATGGACTAATAAAAGAATCAGTGTCAATAGCAGTAGAAGTGCATGAGTGTGCATTATTCATCTTGAATTGCAGTTAGTGATTAACAAATTGTCCAACCCAAATATAGACTATGTATGTTGAATTAGCTAATTCCACTCCGGATGTTGTAATGCATCAGCCATTTTTTTGGCGTAATGGAAGGGAACATTGATGGGTTGCTGTCTTTTATCTATTTTGTGTCTATATGTGATGGGCCCGGTGTATTTTTAACGGCAAGTTTATTTTATTGCGACTTGAGTAGTACACGTTTGAATTAAGAAAGGTCTTTTTGCACACGGGATAAGGTTACAATTTTCGTTCATTGCGGGTCCCTATTTTTTGGTACTATTAGGTTTGTACAATGCCATTATTTGTGGGATCTAAAATGTGTGAATGCGTGTACCAATGGGTTTTCCTGATGTGGGTCAAATGGTCGTGGCTTCTATAAGAAATCAACTTCATTGTACATGGAATCAATTGTTTGATGGATGGGTTACAGTTGGCATTACCAATAAGTTGTATGTAACTAATTGTTGGAAATAATGATGTTTAAATAAATAATTTAGATGTTTATATATTTAAAATCATTAAGTATTGAATAAAAAATTATTAAAGTATTTTTAAAATAAAGACCTTTTTAGGAGGTTATTTTTGAAAAATTCTTTGTGATTTTTGGGAGAAATTGAAAATGTGTGAAGTAAATAAAATATGAAAGACTCTTAGTTCAAAATTTGTAACTTTTGGTTAAAGACACCAATTCAAGGTTACATCTTTTTTATAAAATCATGTTAACACCTTCTAGTTAAAAGACACTATGACAAATAGTCACAACTTTTTATTAAAGTCACATTTAATATGTTTTGATTAAAAGATGCCATTTTAAAATAATTGTTCTTTTTCATAAAATCGCTATTAATACCCTTTGAATCAAAAGACACTATTAAATATGGTTGTACTTTTTATGAAAAACCACTATTGAATCTATAAATAGATGATGTATTACACTTTCAAATCATATCATTGAACAATTCTTATTTCTTATTAGAATTACTCTCTCATTCTACCTTTTCCGATTATCCCAAATTTGGAGTTATGTATTGTGTCTTTCTTCTCTCTCTCTCTCTCTCTCTATACATATTATATTGCATTGTTATTCTTGTTCGATTCAAGCATAAACATAAAATTGTGTTCGTTAGAGTTCTAAAGATTGAAGTTTTGCTTCTTCAAATATGCAAATTCATTATATATTGGAAAACAATTGTTTATCAACCTTAACCACTAAGAGGGAGCAAATATATTTTAAGGAAAGTATAATTATATAGGTTCGGATTATTTCTAGTTTTTTAGATTATTATCTTATTTATTGATGTTCTATGTTACTATAAGTGCATTACTACTTCTATTTTAACATTCTGTTTTATTAAATAGTTTGTATATATAGTATATTTAATAGATTTAAATTTTACTACAATAATTTTTTATTTTTACTTATATATATACATATTGGGATAGAGAGGGATAGGGGGGGAAAAGGTTTAAATATTTGACTTCAAGAAGACAAAATCTTTACATGGTAAGAAGTACATTTACTACAGTAATTAGTTCCTTAATTTGATTATGTATATATATATATATATATATATATATATATTGTCTTGGTGGTCATTCACCATGAGGGTTTCTTTTATATATAATTAGGGGTAATTCGTACTTGAATGTAAAATGTAATGTAAATGATTTTAAGAGGGATGTTGGTGGCCGTTGGATGAGTCTATTTAAGACCTTATGATAAACTTATTAAAGTTTGTTCTATTTTATATTATGGATTATAGATGGGGTTGTTTGGTTTATGGGTTTAAGGTGGATTAGTGAGTGGGGTTGAGAAAAAATAGTCTAGAGTCTATATAACTAATGTTTGATTTATTTTTAAGAAAAGGGATTAAATAACTGGGCTATTCCCAACCCAATATGAATATTAAATTTTACCCAATATATCTGGGTTTCATTCAATAAACCCACCAGTGGGTGAGTTTCAAAGTGGTTCATTGGGATTACGATTTAAATTACTAAAATGTCCTTACATTGAATAAAAATTGAGTTGTATGACGGGCATTAAAGTCAAAAGACAATCCACATTGTGGGGTCCACATTTTTTCTATTCCAATCCAATAATTTTCAAACATGGAATAAGATAACATTCATATCCGAACATAACTTCAAAATTCAATTGGATAAGTTTGGGTCGTTATACTTAACCCAATCCAATCTAAAATAGTGAAACTTACCAAACGACCTCAATAGGTTCTACTCAAATTTATAACACGTGATCTATCAAGAAAAAAATATGAAAGATAATCGTATTGAAGGAGATTGCATTTATCGTGGATTAAGATTAGGATCCCGTGTGTTTTATTTTCACTTAATTTCTTTCAATGATAGACCGATATGAATTTGAGTGAGACTTAAAATTTATAAATGAATTCGCCACCCATTTATGTTAAGCGTGACGAAGATCGAAGAAGATCTGAATCCTTAGGCCACAGTCATCCTGAAAGGTCATGACTCAGGAGTATGCCACACTTTTCAGGGTTGCATTATTGCAGCATATGTGTTGTTTATTTGGACTTTTTGCTCGACTCATCATCTGTAATATGTGCAGATTGGCTCTAAGAGGACTTTATATTATATATAATTCTCCCGATCTCCAGGAAATTCACCCGAAAGCGGCCTTTAATTTTAATAAAGTACAAGGGACGATGTTACATAGTTTAAAAGTATTTATAGATAATATTATAATAACATGACTTTATTTTTTAAACCTTAGGGGAACAATCGTGCTTGCCAGTCACATATCATGGAAAGTTGGAGTGGAATCAAACTATGGTTATTTTTTTATGTAGTTTATTTAAATTATCGTTATATCTATATCTATATCTACACTACTTTAAAATATAAGAATACATGAAAAACATTTTTATCCCACTTTTACCCTCCAACAATACACATATGACATGTTTATCCTCCAAATTTACTTCCACATTAAACCTAAATTACCTCAGTCCAAAGCCCTCTCAAGTCTCAACTGTTACCCTCTCTTTCTTTCTCTCCCTTATTTTCAGTCGTCTCTCTCATATTCTCTCTCTCTCTCTCTCTCTCCCCTATTTATTCACCAACATCCATTAGACAGATGGAACTTATTTCTTTCATCTGTTAGAAACTGAAAAAACTCTACCGATTCTGCTGCTACATTTTCAATGATCGGTTAGTTATGAACTCTTCCAGAATCTCCCTCCCTCCAGCTCTCTTATATCCGTATATGATATATTCCTCTTTTTATCATCACAGTACCAATGACAATGAACACCAGCACAAGAGATTTTGAAGGCAACTCTTCCAGAGGCTGCTTAGGAATTATAAAAAATTCTTCTATGAGGTACACCATCTATTTTTTATAATAAAATGTGTGAACTTTTCTTTGTTTGTTGATTGATTGATTTCCTCCTATAGAAAAATATATCCTCTGTGACAAGTTACTTCCTTTGAATTTTAATTTTTTTAAATCAATTTGCTTTCATCTCTTTATAGCTTTTCTTTCTTCTATTAGCGGCTTCTTATATTCTCTGTTTTATAATTGAATATAATATGCTTTAAAAATTTTACAATTCAATATAGTATGTTTTACAATTCATCATGATCTTCATGAGCAAATTTTACTGGGTTGTGCTTCCATTCATCGAATTTTGCCTTTAGATAGGGATCATTTGATCGACCCTATGTTTTGATACATCACAAGCATGGTTTTTGATCATCTCGTACAGAAACTTCTTGAGGGGAATGAGAGAATATGAAGGCTGAATCAATCCCGAAGCCTTTTCCGTCTTTTCAGCTTTTGGGTTAGTTGCAATTTCAAAGAGCATTGCTACATTTTTTTTACATATGTTGTTTGTGATATTCTAAATATAGTAAAATCACTTACTGAATTTTTTGATTTGAAACATGTAATGTATAACAAAACAGTAATAATCAAATGCGAAACAGTTACACAGAATATAGAAACAGTTACTATAGTTTTAACGAAACAGTAACAACAGTCCTACCAAACAATTTTACGTAACTGTTTGTCAAACCAATTTAAATATTAACCTGGTTGTAGAACAGAAACTGTTATTAAACTTTAAGTAGATCAAGGTAGTGTTTGACACTATGTCCTTAAGACAAATTTTGCCCCCACACACGACGCTTATGAAATATCAAAGCTTTTGCCTCCTAGGATACAATGATCTTTACATGAGTAGAAGTAGCACTCTAATCTACTCGCACAGGGAACCAGAAAATTGTGTTGTATACTCTCCAAATACAAGTTGCCTTAATGCTGAAATGCGATACACTAATGTCTTAATTAACTCTGAATATGAACTGATGAATGAATGATTGCAGAATGATAATGAGAGCCTGAGTATTTATAGATATTATTGTGACTTTCTGGACAACCACTATACTAAAAGACACAACCCATAAGACAAATGCAAGCTAATAGACACCACTTGTGTAATTGTTCTCTATGAACAAACACAAGTCAAAATTTTGGACTCATACAAAAGTACCCTCTGAACCAATATGAACAGGTATTGAAATTTAATTTTGGTTCAAAAATTCTCGTACAATTAATTAAATTTTTTTTTTTCAAAAAGATAGGGCTTGGTTCACTTATATCCGTACCCGAACCTGAGCTCAGCTTAGTCAGGATGGGCAAGTGGCGCGCGCGTGCATGTGTGGTAGAACCGAAGATATGTAGGCACTCGCTTCGCTCATAAAATTGTGGTACCATTGGAGACCAATCCTATAGAGCAAATTTGGCCCTATATACACCCATGTAAAACTTCTTCCTCAACCAATGTTGAATTGATGTCAAATCTCACATTGAACAATATCTATTTTTACATTTCAAAAAAGTCACTTTGGAGCCTATTTTTTCATTCATTTCTCACTCGATTTGAGTAAGTGAATATACTACATTATTCTCCTCACGGAATAGAATACAAACCCATGAAAGTTTACTTGGAACAACGAACGGGTCCCACTTTAATTTAGATTCAAAGTCGACCAAAATTTAATTTTTACACTTAAAAAACTATTTTTGTCCAACAATCCCCACATGAATGGAAAATTGGTTGTTATTATGCAAATAATAATATTAACACACTATAGAGAGTACATCTTTGA